GTTGTCTCCTTTTCTGGCGTCGATCATGGGGCTGTTTCCTTTTTCGGTTTATGCTGGGATGCTTGGGTTGGAGATCCACTTGTCCTCGTTTTGCGTCTCCCTTGGTGTGGCTCCCACAGGTGATAGCTGTGCCACCATCCCCTTCTTGAATGCTCGGGTGTTGGGTCTCCCCTTTGCTTCAGGCAGTTTGGGGGTTCCTTGCATTTCTTGGGTCAATTGGGCTGAAAACCATCCTCTGCTACCATTCTGTGGTGTGTTTCCAAAGATCTAGCCAATACTCCAACACAGGTTAAGTTTGATTCAAAAGACATTTATTTACATCTTACTTATCTCTTACAGGTGAACATCTGGAATGGCGCTGGACCCTTGGACAATAACTTATATACCTGGGAGGCGGAGTCAAGGTGAGGAGGGGTCAAGGGAAAAGCTAGGTGGGATGGATAGTGTTAACCCTTGCCCTGCCATGAGTGCACTGTATTAGGCATTTGTATGTAACAAAACACTCCACAAAGAAAACAGTGTATAATAAAGTACAAACAATTATGAACAGTGAAACATTACAATAATTACTTTAAAATGTTCCCTAATCCCAGCACTACCTAATTTAACTGGTATCAGGAACTGGCAATGGAAACAAAACTTGTTCCAGTGTCATAAAATCTTGGCAGGGGAAGTGTTTTAAGGGACTATTGAAATTTTGGGAAAAATTAGACTACAAATGTCATTCAAGGGGGACTTAATCTAGAGAACTAGAGCTAACTGGGAGAAGATTCTAAAAAAGTGAAATAAGCAGCATAGAGGAACATAGATTGTACTGAAGTTATTCAAATAATTGGATGTTTCTGTATACACACCCATGAACGTTAGAATCAGGAATTTAAATGCTCCCCAAGACTTAGCCAATATAGGATTAACAAAGAGACAAAGTACAGGTCTACTAGGAGAGGTCCAACGCCACACGGACCGTGTTGTTCTGGCCTTGAACCAGAGACAGAGAACAAAGTCAGGACAGCTTGCCAATAAACTATTGCAACAGGCATTACCATGATGCTTACCATTTCAGTGGTAAGACACGAACAGGGCCCTGCAATTGCTGGTAGAGTCAAGCAAGATGAAATCAGTCTTATGGCACAGCCTGTGCAACTACCCAAGGCTCAGTGCCCTAGCTTTATTGGGCAATGTCTTAAGATCCTATAGAATATTGCTTTGGCTTCAGAAAATAACCTGAGCTACAACATGGTTTGTTTTATTATTACTTCATGAGATGTATATTCTGGCTTTTCATACTATTCCCTTTCCAACATTTCCCACAACCCAGAGAGAAAGGAAGGCTGAGAAAGTTACTGCCCCAGTCACCCAGTCAGCTTCCATGGTTGAGGATGTATTTGAATCTAATTCTGGTTAGTTTTAGTGCAACAGCCTAATCATGGTCAACATGTTCTGTGATCCTCATCATTTTATAGCACAATTAATAAAGAAAGGTCAAAGAGATGGGATATTTTATATTTTTCTCTGTTCATTTACTTGCTAAAATCACAAATATTCAATTTACAGGATCATCATCCAGCTTCTTCTAGTGTAAAAGCGTAATGCCACCATATCCTGTGTTTAAATTTAGCTAATCCCAATTCACATAGTCTGGCACATACAACACAGTTGCTCATGGTTAAGTGAACGATAATGTACTTAATTAACTCAAATTCCTGGATTTGCACAAAATATGGAATTAGCTAACCACACAAAAATCTAGGTTAATATTGGTTGGCTAGTTTAGAATTCATACAAATTCATTCATAGAATATGGAATGATTAGCAACAATTGGAAAGTTAAAAAAAGTCAACCCATAACTCACCTCCCTCTGACTGAATTCTGCTTCTAGAGGAAAGTATGTCTGGGAGAAAAGTTCACACATTACAGAAGGCTTTGTCCATTTTTCCTTAGCCTTGGAAACTTTGCTTGTAATACTTTGGAAACTCCTAGCCTACAACAATCTTTGTGTGAAATCTCTCAGAAGAAAAGGCAAAAGTATTTAGGAAAAGAAGAAGCAAATTGGAAATACATTAAGTTCAAAGAGGCAAATTCCCAGGGGTAATTAGGGACCCTTCATAATTGTTTCATTTTTAACACAAGGTCATTGAGGTGTCAAGAACCGTCTCAATTCGTAACTTTTTCCCAGAAGTAAATATAACAAGGCTACATTCACTTATTAAAAAATTGACTTGCAATATCTCTGAACTTCTTCCTTCTGTGAATCATTAACGCCTACCCACATCTCAACGGTGTTTTTGTTAGTAGCTTCAGACAAAAAGAACTTTGCATTTATGATGCAAAATAACTTTTCTGCTATAATATCAAAGAAAACACTTTGCTTCTGTTCTGTTTCCATAGTTCAAAACCTCAATTTACATATTTCAATCTTATAAAGACATTTTGAATAGGGGTCTGGATGTTCTGTACTGCAGTTTACCCATCATTGTCATCAGTAATCAAATCATCCAAAGGGCAGCATTTGCTTACATTAATGTAACTAATCAGTAGACTTCTTCAAATGTTTTGGTTATATGTCCAGGTAACATCTGGACAATGCTGAACTTTGCACAGTTATTTATTCATTCATTCATTCATTTCATTTTTATGGCTACTCAATCACCAAGCAATCCTGGGGGACTAACAAAGAATTTAAAAATGTTAGAATACAAATAATAATCTATAAAAACACATTGCACTGGAGTAAATTTACATACAAAATACAGTGGGCTCCTATTGACCCTGAGGAAAGAATCAGATCATCAAGTCTTTCTTAAATGTATCTTACTCAGTTTGTGTGAAGTGGTATGGCTTTATAAAACTGTCTCATTTCCAGTTATATGAACAATTCCATCACGGTGACAAATAGTCCATCTGCTCTGCTTAGTTGGAAGAAAAGACAAAAATGTCTTGAATTTTCTGCCAACTAATAAATAAAAATCATACAGGAACATTTTTTGAGTATTCAAACTTTCAGGTATCCCTCTGTAATCAAGATAAGTCATTTGCTGCCCTCAAGTGGCCCCAAGTTTGTTTTCTACCTCAGAAATGCATACGGCAATGCATAACTGTGTAAAACCAAGCCTAAAATTCAGCAAACATTACAGATTACTTAGTAGTTCAAATTCTATAGAAGAAGATTTGAACTGAATTCAGAGACATGTATCCACATATATTATTGAGGGGTTATTTTAACATTTCTTCCTAGAAAATAAAAGTACCTAAACATCAAGACTTCTTAATAGTAAAAAGGCAGGTTGTGCATACTTTCAAAAGTAATTTAGTATTGGTACTCTGGAACGTAGAACAGAATGAGCAGAACAACCATTTAGAATCACTTTGCCTCATGCTTGAAAAAAAATGTGGCTACTTTAATGAGAATTCATTCAAAGTGGTTTTACAAATGAAATGTTCAATTTCTATACTTCTGGGGGGAAATCATATATTTTAACTCACAAAAACACTTTCTGTAATGTGCTATTTTGTTTCTGAACATTCTGAACAAAGTAGCAATTACTTTTGCCAAAATAACTTCTGTTTCCTCCACTGTACTTTATTCCAGGCTGACGAGAAAAACAAAAAAAAGAAATAAAAGTGGAGATCAGAGTAAAGAGTCACAGAAAGATCAATAGTTTAGCTTCCCTCCTTTCTCAGGCAGGAAGATAATATTAAAAAGCTTTATGCACCTCACTAAAAATAATTGCTATTCCTATTGTCATCCATTATTGTGTTCTTTGTTTTCTTCGTTCAGTGTGGCTATGGAGTGATAGAATTATCTTTTGTTTAAGATTTGCAGTTTAGTATGTTGAATTCTTAAACTAGTTATTCTAAAACTGTGATTAGTTAAAACAAATTGATGTTTGAACTATGTTTTCCCACTAACCGTGGAATTTGTTGACTTGATTGCCTTTTTTTAAAAAATCTCACTCTGTGGATGAAAGAGTGCCATGAGGTGGTGGGTCCTATTACTATAGATTTCACCCATTCTGGAGAACCCCAAATGCTATAATTCTATAAAGAGAAAAGTAGAGTCCACTAACAGAATTCTCAGCACTGAACTACAGTTTGTGTCTAGTTTCTACAGTTTCCAGGATTCTCTGGGTAAAGCCATTACATATATAAAGCTGTAACAGATCAATACAGTTTAGTATCCAAGAAAAGGCTTAAGATGAGGGCATTTATGCCTATTTTTATTAAATCATAAAGTTCAAAACTGTAAAGTTTAAAAAATAAGCCAGAAAACTTCTCTCTGTCTTTTTGAGTTTTTGACTCTGAAGCTTAAATTTTGTTTTAAAGTGGCTGCTACAGAGATGATTTGTCACGCAGATCATCAGAGGAGGCCCTATGGCAAAAGTTAATTGTCCTAGAGTAACACTTGGGAGTCTTTTCAGTGGTTTTATCCGGTGCACGCTGGAATGCCTCTTCCCTTAAAGTTGTGAGATGCCTCTTGCTACAGCTTAGAGATGGCTGATCTTTTCACTCTAGCCCTCTCTGTATTAATGCTTAATATTATTTCTGCCTTGTTTGCTATTCCTTCATCTTTCAGAGTTTGTAAATGAATATATAATAATTTCATTATATATAACTTTAAAGGAGATATTAAATAAGTATTATAAAATATAACATACAATTTCATTTATAGAACAGACAACTTATTACAACCTTTATAGTAGACAGAATCTATATTTACAAAAACCAACCAAATAAGAAAGTATCCACCATCCAAGCTAGTCTCTCAAGCTGCCAAGATGCAACATCCATCATGTCTTAAGTTTAATTTCAAAAATCCAATACTTCTGATGTAAGGAGTCTTCATGGATTAATAATCTTGTTGGCTACCACATTTAAATTTCCTTCCTCATGCTTGGTTTGACACACACTCCTTTTATTGTAACTCTTCTATGCATTGCAAATTGATTTCATCACAACAAATGATGGGTATGGGACAGGGTACTGTCCCGTATTCACTTACTTTCTCTACCGGTTCGCAAATGTGTGTATGCACACACCATCTTCTGCGCATGTGCAGAGCCTCAAAAATGTGGAAAATTGGGACATTGTGATGTCTGCACAGGTGGATGGGCCATCCGCAGTCGCCCCTATCGGTTCACCTGAACTGGACAGAACCAGCTTAATACCACCACTGGAATGGGAACAAGGAAAAGACATGAACATTAGTTATGCTAGGTAAAATACACCCAAGACTTAGTATCCAAAAATAAAACAATTCCAACACACAATGTATAGAAAATTATTTTCACAATTAAATTTTAATACTGGTCTTCTTTTAAAATTACATACAGAACATCATCCTACAATTGCTCAGAGAAACCTGGAAGACTAGAAAGACTTATGAATAAAATTAGCCTTATAAAAGATGCCATTTGCTTTAAAAGGAAAATTGCCTGCAATGTGATTGCCATCTAAAATTCATACTAATTGCAGCATATATCCAATCCAGGGGTCTTGCACTAAAGTGTTAGTGCAAGTAAAGGCAGTAAAGTGTTACATTACTGACTATGGTTTGAGTGTTGCATGCATATGAGATCAGTTCCAACACTGGTAAAGGAAACTAAGTTTTATCAGATTAGATTTCTGCTCATATTTTTCAATTTATAAAATAGCAATTTTATAATTTATCCACATTCATAGGCAAACAATAGCAGCTACCCTACCCCTAAATGGGAGGTCACAAGCTTTCTTTCTTTAAGAAAGCTAAAATCAGTTTAGACTTGTTTTCTCCATTTCCAGTGTCATTTCAAAAAACTACATTTGAGCATTTGCCTTGCAGCAATTTACATGGAAAGCAAAAGGGTATGTGAAAACATTGTGTCTATTGTCTCTGTGTTACATCCATGTAATCTACCAACTTCATTGAGGAATGATAGAAGATCATCACCATTCAATGACCATGTCTGGCAGAGGATGCTTCTAAAAGTAAAGTGAAGTTATTTTCAATATATATATATAGTAAAAAAAATGTATTTTACATTTTGATTGCTCCTTTGGGAAAATGGTTATCTAAATGTATGGGTTTTGTATGTATTGCTCTATGAAAACATAAATAAATGACTGACACTTCTTAGAGAAATACTCAGACTAGAGGAAATGGAAGTCTGGGGTAGTAATTTTTGTTTCTAACCATTGTTGCTCTGTGTAATATTGTGTAATGTAAAAATCAGGCATGGTTTAGATGAATCTCAGAATAAATAGACTAGAATAACAGAGTTGGCAGAAACTTTGTAGGTCATCTAGTCCAACCCCCTGCTTAAGCAGGAGACCTACACCATTTCTGAAGGATGGTAGTCCAGTCTCTTCTTGAAAGCTTCCAGTGATAAAGCACCCACAGCTTCTGAAGGCAAGATATTTCATTGGTTGATTGTTCTCACAGTCAGAAAATGCAGAGAGATTCAACCTAGAAATAAGGAGACATTTTCTGACAGTGAGAACAATCAATCAATGGAACATTGATTCAGACGTTGTGGGAGCTTCATCACTGGAAGCTTTCAAGAAGAGACTGGACTGCTATCTGTCAGAAATGGTGTAGGGTCTCCGGTTTGGGCAAGGGCTGGACTAAATGACCTACAAGGTCCCTTCCAACTTTGATACTCTGGACAACTACAATAAAAGGGAAAATGAGATTTGCAACATGAGCACTTCCTCCTGATAGAAGCTTGTTAAGTGAAACCAAGCCTTTCTGCCAAACTAAAACTGCCTCCAGGCAGTTAAATGAAATCATAAGCACCTGGGAAAAGCTAAGACAGCATAGACATTACTAGTACTTTAGCACCATCTATTGGCATGTTATTAAATTAGTGTGTAAAATGCTACATTAATCTTCTTTAAAGAGCTTGCAAAGAAGGCTTCTTGTTTGTTTTTGAATAAAGATTCTGTGCAAAAAAGAATAGGAAGTTAATACTTTTCTTTCTTTTTCCTCTTTTACCCTAAACTTTTTCCTCTTCCCTTTTTCCTCCCTAACTTTCCTACTATTTTCATTTTTCTTTCTATTTTATATTTTGATAAACTACTATATTTATCAAACTACTATAGTTTGATAAACATTAAAAAAATTGGAAATCACATCCACCACTAGACACCCATCTTTTTAGTCCAGTACCAGTTCCATCAGTCATGATTACCTGCTCTGTCTATTTTGTTGTTGTTGTTCCTTTAATCAGGAATGCACTAAAGCCACATCATTCCAATCACAAATGACAATAACTTCAGATGAATTCCAGTGAACTCAAAAGCAAAATGAATCCAAAAGAGATAAAAGAACAAAGTTAACCCATGAAATAAACTCAATACAGAGTACTTTCCAACAAAGAGATAAAAATATGAATCAGGTACAATCAAGGCAAGGGAAAAAAATAAGACAAGATGTTCTTTGGTTGAGAAAGGGCAACTTGTACACTTCAATAGTTTTACATCAAATATTTTTACATGTGTTGCTGATGATATCATTCTGCTGGTTTCTCTCTCCACTTGCTGTTCTATCCCCATCTACCAGAAGATTGAGAAAATTGGGAATATCCCATTCAGCATAGTTTGTAAGCCTGGGGCTGCAGGGAAAAGGGAAAAAATTAGTATCCACTATTTTTAATAATCCACTCAGATATTGTTCCTTGCAGTGAAAAGAAGTCTACACCCAAGATTACATAATCAACATACTTTCACAATCATTAGCATTTGTAAGACACTGTAACATACAGGGCCATGATAATATGAGTTGCCTGGGCCTGGGAAAATGTGCTTGCCATACCTGACTCACCACATTGTCACTTGGGTCACATTCTTTTCTTGTCCTTCTAACAGCTACGCAACTTGCTGTGTTTTTTCTATGGGAAAGAACACATACTTTGAAAAGTAGCTTCTTTTTTACTATGGCAATTCCCATGGTTTTTCTGACACTAAGGTTCTGGGAATAAAAATCCAGGTTAAGGCCAACTCGGAATCACAGATACCATTGCTTTCTTTTTTTACACATAAACAAGAATATTTTAAGATTATCGAATAGAAATGTTGCTGCAAATATTTTTCTCTTTCTTGCTGCCTCCTCCAATTTCTTTCTCAACATAAATTAATGGAGAATTCAGTTTTTTCAAGTACAGATTTGAGGCAGATATTCTTTTATTAGAAGATATTGCTAAGCAGCAGAACACCTTGATTTTTATACTGTTATTCCAGAAACCTGAAATATCTCAGAATATAATCGGGCAGATAAATATTTACATTACAGAAATTACCAGGTTATAATACTTACAAAGAATCTCAGTAGCTCAAAACAAAGGAAGGCTAATTTGCATATACTTAATTTGCATGTGCCTAATTTGAAATGTACTGAAAAACCATAAGCAAAAGCATATAAAATAATCGCATCATTTCTATTATAGCAGGATGGTGGAATGCATGCACAGTAGTAGCATTACAATAACTATAGGTTCCCATAGTCTTCTTGCAAAGAATGTTTAGTGCAATTATTGGCTGGGTACAATCAGGTTGATAACAGGAGTATCCTTAGCTCTTTGTTACAAATAGCTGTTGTCACAGTGTGACACTAGAGGGCAGACAAGTATATCTTTTGCATCAGTCAATTTTGGAGTGACAATTACAATAAATCAAGAGTTCTTAATCTGGGGGGGGGAATCTTTGGAATCTTAACAACAGCCCTGGAGGCACTCTAATACATTTGGGGCAAAAGGCTCATGCTTCAGTAAATGAAGACATTGTCAGTTGTAAAGGATCAGTTTATAAAATGACACCTCCGTCACTTCTTGATGCATATGTCCTATTAACCTGCTTATTTTTGTCTCCTTTTCTGAGCAAATGGACACAACTCCAGACTTAACAATGGACAGCATCAACTCACTATTTTTATTTTCTTTTTTAAAAAGTTTATAGAAATCTGAGACATTCCTGAAAATAAAGATGAAAAGAGTTGATAATTTGCTTTGCAGCATCCTACCCCATCACCCTTTTTTCTTCTTCTTTTTACTAAGTTGCAAAAGCTCAGATGCAGCAAGAAATCTGGGAGTATGTATGGATAATGTCACCCCTATATGCCAAGTTGGGGGCCCCAGATGGACATTCATTTGACATCCTAACAACATTCAGGCCAGAAAACACCAATGAAATCAAGATGGTTTAAAGTCATATGCCGTCTACTTTAAAGCAAACAAATGAGAGTACCAATTGGGGGTGGAATCTGCCATTCTATATTCTGGTATTTCAAACATCTTGTATTTGTGTCTTTCTCAGTCTGGGCAAAACCAGGCGCTCTCTACTACTAGGACAATTTTTTCCAGCCGGCAGAAAAGGGGATGCATACCACAGCGTATGGGGAGGGGGGGTCATGTTAGGGAAGACTGCTGCATGAAATTTTTAAAATCTGTGCTATAGAACATTTTTAAAGTGTATTTTAATACTTAGAAATTAACAGTGGGGTTGCTGTAACCTTTCCTCCATATGCGTTGAGATTGAAGATCCCCGAATTACAAACCAACATGGCCAATGAGAGTGGCTGGGTAAGGTCTTCGGGTGCCCATGGAAAATCGGAGTCTAAAACTGCCTCTTCCATATTCGTCCTTTTCCTCCTGCTCAGCATCTTGGCCATCTCGTGCTGCGGCTGTGGTTCAAGTCCGGGCAGATTTTACCTAGACTTCGTAACAATCCGTAACAAAATTCCTTATATTGTACTTCGAAGTCGAAGGGTCTTTTCAGCCAGAATTTCCTTTGTTTCTTTTTTTTTTTCACGCGCGGCGCGTTTCCGAGAACCGCTCACTTTTCTCTCCCAACATTCGCCTCCCATCTTGGAAATCGCGCCTCTCTCTCGGCTTCGGGATCCTGGCCGCCGTCGGAAAGAACTTGCTCTCTGGGCCGACGGAATGAGTTTGCTCTCGTCACTCATGGCTCAAGACCAGATGGCGGTCATCGTAGTGGACACTGACAGCTACCCCGAAGAAACATCCAGCTTCTCGGAGGCAGGTGAGTCAAAAGATTTCTGGGCGGGGCATATCTACTTAGTCCCCGCCTGTCCCCGGAGGCCCAGGGGAAAAGGGGGAGACTCTGAACAGCAAGGAAGAGGGCCGAAGGCAGCAATGTATGTACACAGACAGAAAATAGTGATGCCACAAATCCAGACAAAATCTTTCCTAAAATACCATAGAAAGCCAGCGTAAACCTGCTTGGCAGGGAGAGCCATAATCCCCGTTAAGGCAATGCTTATTTTAAGTCAAGCGAAGCTTTAGAAATAGTCCCACGTTTTCATAGAAGGGATGAACTGAACAGATTCACTAGTCCAACCCTTCTCAGGACTGGAATCCAGGAAAATATCGCCCAAGAAAAACCTACAGGGAAGGGAGGCTCTCCCTTTTTAGCAGGCTGTTCCACAGCTCTTATTATCAGGAAGCACTGCCTAATATTCAATTTTTTTTTTTTCATTTTGACTTGTGGGTCCTAGTTCTGCTCTTGGTTTCAGAAGAGAACATTCCCACGCTTTTGGCACATGACTGCCTTTTGATATATTTATATATATATATATATTTATATATTTATATATATATATATATATATATATATATTTGATATAGATCACTATATACTGTACATATGGAAAAACATTTAGCTTCTTTGATTTTCAACTCTCTAACCGGTTATTTAAGATAGCAAACATACACAATATTCCTTCCTCCTCCTATTTTCCTCACAACTGCAGTGTGAGGTGAGTTGGGCTGAGAGAAATTGTTTGGCCCAAAGTTACCTAATTGGCTTTCCTGTTAGAATTTTGTTCCCTATTTTTACTAAGCTCACAAAAAAGTGTTTGGTTTTTTTCATTTAACTTTGGTTTTGACCATACATTTATGAATACATTATTATAGACCTATATCATCTCTCTGTTTTTGTGTGTGGGGGTTTTGTGTGGGTTGTTGTTTTTTTTGCTTGCAGCCTTAGCACAAAAGTTCCTCACAGAGCTTGGTTTCAGATCCCTTATCATGCCCCTGGCGTGCTCTTCTAACATTTCCTTCTGTTTCTCCATGTCCCTTTTTGAATGCCAAGAACTAAACATAGTACTTCGGGTGCTGTCTAACCAGTGCAGAATAATCCATCCAGTGCAAAGACTACTAATAGTAGGTTACATCACTTATGTTAATAACGCCCAAAGATTGCTTTGGCCTTATGAATGACTCTTCTTGCTCTTTTTTTAATGAGATATTTAATTACAAAAATCCATACACAGATTATAAATTTCCTGTACAGAGCCCAAGAAATACCCCCCACCCCATTCTCCATAAGGACTGAAAATGGCAGGTAATGTTTCTTCATGAACCTCAAGATACTGCTTGGTCATCCTTGGGCATGGTCTGCCGCAGGAACTGCCTTCCCAAGTAGAAAGTTGCTGCACTAGTTAAGTTCTTCCTGCTACCCACTTTGCACCGAATATAGCCATAAAGATTAGTTCCTTGCAATGCTACACCCATAATTACCAATGCCCAGCCACTTAACTTTGAAAGAAAATAGGGCACTGAAGGCAAAAATCACCCAGAGTAAAGGACATGTGATTAATCCTAGCCAGATTCTGGACTCTGCTTCTGAAATAGCTTTCGTCTCCTGAGCTTCAAACACCAGGTGACTTTTGCCATCATCATCAACCTGATTCCACCATCAGAGGCCAACCATCAACCTCTCTTTGACATTCTTCACTGCACAAAAGTCACACGATAGAAGTAAGATGATTGTCAACATACAGGCAATATAGCTGTTGCTTAACCAATTCACAAAATAAGTAGACAATTATTGCACTGACCCGGAAGAAATGGGAAAAAGAAGCTCTAGGGTGTTTTATTTTTTATTTCTTGGGCTTTCTGGACATTTCATCTTCTCCATCAAAAGGTTAAACATCTTCCATCTCATCATTGCTATCCTTGGCTTAGAAATCCTCCTCCAGGAAACCCACTCAGCGACCCTGGCCCGCGCTCGACTCTTCTTGCTCTTGTTCACCTGGTGGTCCACTAATACTACTAGATTGCTATCTTTTGAGTGAGCTAACATACAAGGGTTCCACAAATCTTGCTCCCAGGTCTGTGGATAAGGCATTTGTTGAGTTCCTGGTGCTCTTTTTTATGAGCTATTGTAAGGTATACCTCTCTTTTTTCATTCTTTTTTTCTTTTTCTTTTTAAGTATATAACCAGTTTGGAGTCTCCTTAGGCTTGAGCAGCATTCTAAACCTAAATGAATAAAGAAATAATATAGTTCATCTTTTTTTGGTGTCTCCTTCCCCCACCCTTCCATTCTCTTTCAGATTTGACATTTGAGGATACACGTTTTCCTGAGATCATCTCTGTCAGTTCAATGGAAGGAACACCACCTGCCAGTCTGCTTCGCCCAAACGCAGGTAATGACTTTTTCCAAGCAGGATTTAAAAGCTGTGATGAAAGATAGACATTAAGAGGTGACATGAGCAGAAGATAAATAAGAAACAGGAGATCCTTGCCCTTCTGTGTTTGGGGCAGCCATGACTTCCAGGCATCATCCCTGGCAGCAATGGTTGTATTAACCCAGGAATATTTATAGGCTTTGTGGCAGCTGAAAGCAGGCACACTTGCATCACCACCTGAATTTTGAATCTGTACCTTGTTTTTCCAGCAATCAAGAGAAACTGCCAGGAGTGTGGAGGGGAAATTGCTTCTTCGCGCCCTATCTGAAATGTGCTTAAGTGTGAACAGCTATGAGATAGTATTCATGGTATTAGTAATTCCAAGTCATTCCATTTTGCAGGGCTTTTTGAAATCTCCTTTTGTTTGTTTGTGTTGCTTAGAACTTGAGCAATAACTCACTGTACTCAGAGAGGGTTTTTTGGCTCTAAAGAAGAACTCTGTTCTTTAGTAAGTTTATCTCTTCCTCCTGCAGTAATGCTCCCTATATATTATCAGAGTCACTATATATGCTCTCTTCACCGGTAGTGATGGAACTGGTGTTGACAATCAATCTAACAAAGCCAATGCCTCTTTCTCACATCTCCTTGTCTCAGAATTGGCATTGGTGCTGCAGTGGTGAGAAACACACATTTCTAGTAGCTCTGCCAGCTACTCTGGGGAAAAGATGGTTGGCCCCATCTTCCCTGATTTGTGAACAAGCTCACTCCCTTGGGTCATGGCTCTAGTAGCAGCCTGTAAATTAGGTGGGTTCTTGTCACATAGTCCATCATATTGCCATGATTTGATTAAACAATTCAAAGTGTGGTGAAGAAAGCACGTTGACAGAGCCAGTAGTATTGACTGGAGAACAGCAGAAACTTTCCACCTCTCTGTAACCTAGAGCCAGCTCTAAGTTCTTGGAAGTAAGAGAATGTAACAGAATAACAGAGTTGGAAGGGACCTTGGGGGTCATCTAGTCCAACCCCCCACCCAAGCAGGAAACCCTACACCATTTCTGACAGATGGCAATCCAGTCTCTTCTTGAAAACTTCCAGTGATGAAGCTCCCACAACTGTTCCTTTGGGTGATTGCTCTCACTGTCAGAAAATATCTCCTTATTTCTAGGTTGAATCTCTCCTTGATCAGTTTCCATCCGCTACTCCTTGTCTGTCCAACCTATTGGAAAATAGGTTGACCCCTTTCTCTCTGTGACAGTTCCTCAAGTATTGAAACACTGCTATCATGTCTCCCCTGGTCCTTCTCTTCATTAGACTAGCCATGACCAGTTTCTGTAACTGTTCATCATATGTTTTAGCCTCCAGTCCCCTAATCATCCTGGTTGCTCTTTTCTGCACTTTTTCTAGAGTCTCAACATCTTTTTTTATAGTGTGGTGACCAAAACTGAATGCAGTATTCTAGGTGTGGTCTTTCTAAGGTTTTATAGAGTGGTATTAGTACCTCACTTGATCTTGATTGTTAATGCAATTTAGGATTGCATTGACTTTTTTGGCTGCCGCTGCACACTATTGGCTCATATTTAATTGATTGTCCACTAAGACTCCAAGATGCCTCTCACAGTTACTGCAATTAAGCCTGGTTTCACCCAGTCTATATGTGTACTTTTGGTTTTTCTTGCCTAAGTATAAGACTTTACTTTTCTCTACATTAAATTTCATTTTGTAAGATAGGGGCCAGTGTTCAAGACTGCCAAGATCCATCTGGATCTTGAGCCTATCATCTAGGGCAGGGGTGTCAAACTTACAGCATTACATTGTCCTCACATGACGTATCGTGACATTTTTCCCCTTTGCTAAATCAAGGGTGGGTGTGGCCAGCGTGTGATGCATCCGGCCCTCAGGCCGCAAGTTTAACACCCCTGATCTAGGGTGTTGGCTATTCCTTCCAGCTTAGTATTATCCACAGATTTGGTAAGTTCCCCTTCTATTCCCTCATCTAAATAGTTTATGAAGATATTGAAGAGTACTGGGTCTAAGACGGAACCTTGTTGTACCCCACTGCTTACTTCCCTCCATATAGTTGTAGTACCATTAATGACTACTCATTGAGTATGGTTTGTCAGCCAGTTACAAATCCATCTGATGGTGATGCTATCTATCCCAATTTTTCTAGCTTACCAAGAAGTAGGTTGTGGTCTTCTTTGTTGAATGCCTTGCTGAAGTCTAAGTATATTATGTCCACAGTATTTCACTGGTCTGTTAATTTAGTCACTATGTTGAAAAATGAAATAAGATTGGTTTGGCATAATCTGTTTTTAACAAACCCATGCTGACTTCTAGTTATTACTTTACTTGTTTCTAGATGTTGGCAGATCTGTTTTTTTAATTATCTTTTCCAGTATCTTCCCAGGTATTGATGTTAGGCTAATTGGGCTGTAGTTTCCTTGGTCTGTTTTTTTCCCCCTTTTAGGGGATCTGGTAATTCCCCGGTGCTCCAGGATTTTTGAAAGATGTGGTTCAATGGTTCTGAGATGACATCTGCCAACTCCTGTAGAACTCTGGGATATAATCCATCAGGTCCCGGTGATTTGTATTCATCAAGATCAGACAGGTGTTCTCTTACCATATTTTTTTGGGCTTATTTTAACTTTTATTTCTAGTCTGTTTTTTACAATTGTGTTTTTGATAGGTTGGACTATAGTTTCTTTTTGTGTGAAGACCGATGCAAAGAATGAGTTAAGCAGCTCTGCTGTCTCTCTGCTGCCTGTTACTTCCTTGCCGTCTTCTCTCTTTAGTGGACCAACAATTTCCTTGATATTTTTTTTGTTATTTATATGTTGGAAGAAACTTTATTTTTTATCTTTGACTTTTGTTGCAAGTCTTTGTTCATTCTGAGCCTTTGCTTTCCTATCTTCGTCTTTGCAGATTCTGGCTATCTGCTGATATTCTGCCTTAGTTATGTGTCCCTCTTTCCATTTTTTATACTTGTCCTTTTTGTCTTTTAGTTTATCAGATAGATCTTTGTGGTTTCTTCTTGGATTTCTTGTTCTTCTTTTTCAGTGGTATTGTGCTGGACTGGGCTTTTATGATCATATTTTTCTGAGTTTCCCAAGCTTCTTAAGTTGTTTTCCCCTTTAGGATTTTCATCCAAGGAATCTTTCCCAAGTTCTCTCTGAGTTTGTTAAAATCAGATCTTTTAAAATCTCCGGTATCATTGTGTTATATTGCTTGTGTTTGCATTATGTTGAATTCCAGTATGACATGGTCACTCTCACCCAAGATTCCTGTAGTTTCAACTCCCTCTATCACCACTTCTCTGTTTGTGAGAATTAAGCCCAGTATTGCTATCCCTCTGGTTCCCTCCTCTACCTTTTGGACAACTAAGTTGTCAGCTAGGTTGGTCAGGAACCTATTTGATTTCTCATTTGGTGCAGAATTAGTCTTCCAATTGATGTCAGGGTAATTGAAGCCCCCCATTACTATTGTAGTGTGTAGTGTGTTGGTTAGCAAAAAGTACATCTATTTTTTCTGCTTGGTTGGGTGGCCTGTAGTATACACCTATGGCAATGTCATTACATATACATGTACATGTACATGTACATATACATATACATATACATATACATATACATATACATATACATATACATATACATATACATATACATATACATATACATTCTAAGAGGTTTTCTGGACTCTGGGTTGACTGTCTGGTCTACAGAGGACTAGTTCTGTTCCCTTGAGAATTGAATCTCCTATCACCAATACTCACCTTTTTTTTTCTAGGGAGGTTTGGGGTATTTTTCTACCTGTCACAGAAGCACTTGATGATGCTACTTTTTTAGGGACATTTGATGATGCTTCTTTTCCAGGTGTCTGCATGTTTACTTCCAGGGAAAGTCTATGAAATCGATTGCTCAGCACCAGTGAGGCTGCATCAAAGTGGGTTGGGTTGGGTTCTCCTCTCTGCACTATAGCTGGCCCCACTCATTCACAGGCTTGCCTTTTGTTCTCTACCAGGTTGTTTTGCTGCCCACAGTCGGTTTGCTCCTCCTCTCACCACACTTCAATGGGCCTCCAGTCTCTTGGGTAAGCCTCTCAGGTGCAGCTGGGCAAAGTTCTCTCAGCAGGCAAAGTTTGCTGTGGGCCACTGCCCTTGGTGGCGGTTCCCCCCTAATTTCTCCAATCTTCCTCTCCTTTTCCTTTCTCCAGTCTTTTTTTCTTTTTGTATGACTTATTTTTCCCTCACCACCTCTCCTCCTACCATTTTATCTTAGTTTAATAGCAACTTTTCTCCCCATGATGTAACAATACTTCCTCCATTGCCACCATCTTGGCTTTCAGACTTTTCTGAGAATTCCATTGCACCATCCTATAAGAAAATGTGGCTACTTCCCTGCTTTGGATAGCAAGTGAAGTTGATAATGAACTGTATTGAAATATCTGTGCTTTTCTCAGATTGATGACTTCTAGATGAGCCAAATATCTGGGTGTTGAAGTCCACACATCTTAAAATTGCCAAGGTTAAGAAATACCAAACTAGACTGCAACTTCCATCATCCCCAGACATCACAATCTGTTTATTTTTTTATTAGAGTTGTAATCCAACAAATCTAGAGGATGACAGTTTGGTAAAAACCACTGTATAACCTATAAAACAATGACTGGCACACATTGATGCTCATGATGTGGACATATTGGTATAGGATTGGGACAGAGAATTAGCTCAAAAAAAGATTGCTGAAGGATTCACTCATTATTTCTCTACATTGGTAACTTTCAGGGATAATTGTGGTATGCTTCCATTACATTTTCTAGAAGAAGGTATTCCCAAAACCTCTCCAAGTTCAAACATGTTTCCAGGAGGAATAAAGTGGACTAATTGCTACAGTTCAAATAAATTGATCATTTTTATGAGGCTTCTTCAATGTGGTTCCAGACTTCTAGATTTCCCATACAGCATAAACATAGGCCTTTTGGCTGGCACTTGGAACCTATCACAAGTGTAAGTTTGATCTGAAATTTGATTTAATTCTGAGAGATTTTACATATTCACAACTGACAGTGCTTTAATATCTTACTTAAACTACTATATAATGTAAGAAATTTATTTTCCCTCATTATACTTTTATCTGTATCAGTAGAGAGCTACAGTTCTGATCTTGACATTTCTACAAGTTCTGTGGAAGAAATAAGCACCTCTATGTTAAGCAAAGGTAATATCTAATTTTGTTTTTCCTAAGATGAATTACCATTTCTTCTGCTCGGTGCACCTTGAATAGCAACTAAACTTTGCATCCATGGGTTCTGAGTATATTGACTGCAATTTTGCACTACAGGTAGCCTTTGTTTAGCAACCACAATTGGAACTGGCAACTTGGTAGTTAAGTGAAGCAATCACTAAGTGAAACCATAACTCTGCTTATGATCTTACTTCAGGTTAGCTTTCCTTTAGACTTGTTAATTTTGCAAATGTGAGGATTGATTGCAAAGTTACTTTTTCATCACTGTTATAATTGCAACAGTTGCTAAACAAGGGACTACCTGTACTGCACAACATGAAGCAGAAAAGGCTTTTGACCTATAGGAAGAAACTGACAAACAGACGTATCTGTAGCGTGTGGCGGTAGAGGACAAATGACAAAAACCTCATTGTGTTGTTATTATCATACTGCATTTTAATGGTGTGGAGTATGAGCCTATTTGTACTGCGAGCCGAAAGATCCTTCTCATTTAGAACCTTAAAAAAATATGCTATTGTACTGAATTTAGAGAAAATAATTAACAGACATTCTATTCAATATATGTTTGAATTAGAGAGTAATTCAAGTGGAAACTAATTCAAAAGCTCTATGTGAAAAGTGCCCATTCTTTTTTCTGTAGAAAATATTGCACATGAAGTGAAATATAATGAGAGGCATATTGAAGGTGAGATATTAATGTTTTTAACTATTAATGCAATTGTTGTTTTTGTTATTACTGTATTTTCATGAATTGCTGTTAATGGGATAGCCATCCTCAGTTAAATGGCTTCCAAAATATATTTTATTATTACAGCTTCTAGAATTGTTGTCTTGAGTTCTGTAGACAGGACTTGCTCTTCCTCCACCTAGATTGTAAATAAATTAATACAGTGCAATGCCCATTTAATTATTCATTTTTGTCAAAAAAAATTGACGCAATGAAAAAATATACTTAATCTTTGCTAACAAATTCTGTAGATCATTACAGAAAAAGATTCAACAGAAAAGAGACCTGAAGACAATGGATGGTATTATTCAAAAATACTCTGTATATGATAAATTTTATGTTGATAGATTATTTGACCTACAATATATACTGTATATACTTTTAAGGTACAAATACATTTGTATTTGCTATTAATATTATACAAGGATATTTTTCAAGCATCATTGTATTTTTACCTCTTTTTTTTTAATACATATCCCTTTTTTAAACAATTGATTGATGTTTATGTCTTAATCCAATCTTCCTGTGTCGTATAAAATGCTAAATTCCATTATCAAATCACAGAAATCTATGGCAATGATTACTAAAGTTAAATTTCCTGATTTTGTTTTGTTTGTTTGAAGATATCTGTATATGCTGTGGAGGGTTTGAGATTTACACTCAACATCCTTTGTTTCATGGAGGGATGTGTGCTCCTTGTTCGGTGAGTAGCTGACAAACTTGATAACTTCTGCTTCTATTCTTTTAGCTTGAGCCATACCCTTCATCCAACAGAGTGAACCTTTCTGCTGGCCCTGGAATGTAAGAATTACTAGCCATGGCAGAGAAGCTACCTTCTTCTATGGCACAGAGGTGCACTATCTGAGACCCAGGGACTGCAGAAATCCTCCAAAAGTTCTTTTTTTTTTTTTTTTTTTTTTTTTTTTTGCTATTGTGGTGTTTAATGTGATTAACTGGAGATTAAGCAATCATATTTATTTACTATATTTAATAATAAGTAAATTTCAGCTGGCAGGGTCCAGTAGATGGAATGGGAGAACTTGACACTACTAGTTCATCAGGGGGTGTCCTGTCCCCCCCGTCCCCCGAGTAGTCACTTTGAGGAAGTGGCATTGAGTCATCATAGACCCTCCAGTAGAAGAGGCTTTTCCATATGGCTCCTGCCCTTTGGAACATCTTGCCCCCTGGTGAGGTCTACTCCCACCTTCCTGATCTTCCATAAGAGCCTGAAGACCTGGCTCTGCCGGTTACCTTGGGGCTCCAATGGGGAAGTTTCATGCTGAAGGTATTTGATACAAAAAATCCCACCTTCCCTCTGCACATCCTGCTCCCTCCCTCTCCATCTTTTAGTCATAATTTGTATTTTTATTGCTACACATATTTGTGTTTGTATGGTTTTTTTGCTTTTAATTTGTAAGTCATCTAGAGCAGTGGTGGGTTCTAAAAATTTTTACTACTGGTTCTGTGGGTGTGGCTAGGTGGGGGGCATGGCTGAGTGGGCATGGCCAATGTGATGTCACTCGTGCACTCAGTCACATGACCAAGCCATGCCCACCGAACAGGTGGCTAAAATTTTTGGGACTATTTGACACTCCGGCCCCATATCCAGGTTGGGATCGGTGGGGTGGTGGTGGTTGTCTCGGCTTTCCCTCCATTGCCCTCCATGGGCCTTCCCCATGGTTGCACCCTGAACAACCATCTCTGCCGGCTCAGGGCAGCAGACTCAGCTGCAGCCCAGACGAGCCGAGGAACTGCGGGGAGCCTCCCGTGTGTTGCATCCCCCTCCCAGCCTTCGCCTCGCACCTCCACACCGTTTTTAGGCACCCAGCTTACCGGGCTGCCCCTGTCCCTGTCGCAGCTCCAACGGCGATGGCTTCAGGAGACACTAGTGGCACAGAGGCGCGGGCGAAGGCTGGGAGGGAGTGCAAACCATGGGAGGCTCCCTGCAGTTCCTCAGCTCATCTGGGCTTCAGCTGAGCCCACTGCCCTGACCCAGTAAACAGAGGCACCTCTCCCCAGCCAGATCTTTCTGGATTTGACTTACAGCTGCTACATTTCGCTGTGCTGCATGAGCGAAGGGGAAGAAACCAGAGGTGGTTTAGCAGCCATGAGCCATGCTTTCCTCTAAGCACTATGGGCGGCAGAGGGAAACAAGTGCTTCTCTCTGCACAGAGCTTTCCAGATGAGACTTGGAGGAAAGCGCAGGTCATGGCTGCTACATTTCACTGTGCTGCGCTAGTGAAGGGGAAGAAACAGCCAGTGGAGAGCACACAGAGCTGCTCCAGTCCACGTGTTCACCAGGTCAGCGGCTGTTTCTCTCCTTTGTTGTTCTTTATGGGAAAGCATTTGGCGCAGCACAGCGAAATTTAGCAGCCATGACCTGCACTTTCCTCCAAGTCTCATCCGGAAAGCTCTGTGCAGAGAGAAGCACTTGTTTCCCTCTGCTGCCCACAGCGCGTAGAGGAAAGCACGGCTCATGGCTGCTACCGGGCTGCCCCAGTCCCTGTTGCGGCTCCAACAGCAGCGGCTTCAGGAGATGCTGGTGGCACGGAGGCGTGGGTGAAGGCTGGGAGAGGGTGCAACATGTGGGGGCCTGGGTCTGCTCCCCTTCACCTCCCCACACTTGTTTACCCATCCCAGAGAGCTTGGGCTCTGCCTCCCTCTGACCTGGCCGCCTTCCTCGTTGGCATCGCTCCTGAGCGAACTCTTCGATCCTCGGCTGTTGTGAAGAAGAAGCAGCTCTGGGTGCGCCATGCCCACTTTGTTCTCTTTGAGAGCCGCTTTGCACCTTGTTTGCAAAGTGGCTCTTAGAGAAAGAAGCAAGCTTGGCGCACCCAGAGCTGCCACTTCTTCGCAACAGCTCAGGACCTCTTCCGCTTGAAGCTCCAAGCTGCGGGGAGGGGGGGCGGCTGCAATGGCTCCTCCCTCAGTGGTTCATTTTTTTTTACCTCATCTAGGCAACTTTGTCATTAAAGGCTGCTCCGCACCTTTTTATCTTTCTCGGGCATGGAGAAAAGTGACCCTGTGAAGGGACTGAGCCTGCTGTTGAACTTGAAAGCCAAGAGGCTTCTTTTCCACCCAGCTACTGGCGCACAGCACCAGAAAGACCTCCGGTCACTGCCACCATCTTCGCGCTCCCGCAGCTTTCTTCTCACTGGCTGAAGTACTTTTTGGCACTCTGCGGCCAGGCGTCTGAAAGGCTTCTTTGCTTCGGTCAGCTTACCATCCGACGGACGCGTCGGGTGGGTGAGCGAGCAGCGACCGGGGGACTGGTTTGGGGGTGTGGCCTGGTTGCCGTTACTACCAGTTCGGAGAACTAGTTCCTAAAGTTACTACCTATTCGGTAGAACCAGGCCAAACTGGTAGCAACCCACCACTGGTCTAGAGCTACCTTGTGGCAAGATGGGCAACAAACAAATAAAATAAATAAGTGTAATTTCATATAAATAAAGTGAAAACAACATGAATTTTTCCACTATTTTTTTGGTGTGGTTTTTGCATGCTGTTCAAAAACTTGCAGGTGAGAATTCATGCTTTAGTGGGTAGAACTGTTGCTTGTTTTTCCAGACGAATTCATAGCTCTGAAATTGAGAACATAACTCTGAGCAACCCTACAGAGTCCTGTCTCAAAACTAAGCTGTGTTATAATTGAACCCTGAAATTAAGCCACTACAGTTCTGTTTTGTTCATTTGTTCTACTTTGTTTTAATCTGAAATATCTGAAAAATTAAGAGCTCAGGCATATAGAAGGAAATTTTCCCTTAATGGGGTTCATTTAACTCATAGATTAAGATACTACAGTAGCAAGGCAGTGGTGGGTTGACCCCGGTTCAGATCGGTTCACAAGAACCAATACTAAAACTGGCGGGAGGCCCCGTCCACTGCCCCGGATGTCATCATCAGTGATCTGTGCGATCCCATTGCGAACTGGTAGTAAAGGTAAGTAGAACCCATTCGTGCTACTGGTTCACCCTGGATTGGGCGAACAACCAGTAGCGGTGGTGGGGGGAAGCTCTGCCCGCCTGCCTGGACGCTTCTGCACAGAAACGTCACGCGTGCAAGCACACGCGTGCCCATGAGCGAACCAGTAGCAATGGGTTTTGAAACCCACCCCTGTAGCAAGGTATTTAATTGGGTAGTGACAACAGCAAATATTTGATTGGCTCATATTCCTAGGAAGGTCAATGAAATCATGTGGTACAAACATGAGATAATGAGGCAGGACTATAAAACTAAGTAGAAAGAAGTAATATTTCATGGCTTGTTTTCTTTTTAGGAAGTTATTGTTTTCTTTTTAGGAAGTTATTTTTGCTTTCTGAACTCTTTATTCAACTCCCAATATTTTTTTCCTAACTTATCAACATTCCTTGGCCTTCTAAATATTTTATGGCTAAGCTGACATTGTTAATTTCCTTGGGACAGTATATTTGGATTACAGAATTTTAACTGACCTCTAATATTCTCCTTCAGTATTCTCTCTCTCTCTCTCTCTCTCTCTCTCTCTCTCTCTCTCTCTCTCCCCCTCCCTCCCTCCCTCCCTCTCTCTCCCCATTAATCATGTTATTCTTCAGGACTCGGGGGCACTGTGTTATGTATTTCTCCTCCTTTCTGAGGGGGCAGTTTAAGTCAAATGGGTTGGAATGTATCTCAGGCCCCTGAAATATCTGAAGCCACAGGGTTTAGGGCTTTCTCCAATTCTATTCAACAGGCTGTAAGCATGAAACTATTGGGAGAAGTCACCTATCAATACAGGATCAGGTGTTATCAGAATGCTAAGGATACTCAATATGGCTGAGAAGCAATTAGTGTTCCTTGAAAATAAGACTAAAATGGACGTCTTGTAGATGTTAACTGAAGTAGCAATAGAAGAAGCTAGTGGGAATGATCAGAGGTGTTGGTATTATTTGTAATACCTATTTAATATTAGCACAGTAGGCATTTACAGCATTACTGGAAATGTCTAACAATCCCAGTAGTCTTTCTAAATAAACAATATTCAGACCACTTCCTATTTATAAAATGAGACTAATAATTTTAGCCTATAGTATTTTAAAGTGTTGTTTTATGACTGGCTAAAGTTTGTGCGTGTGTGAATTATGAGTAAACAATATTATGAATTACGTTCATACTGTATTCAGTAAATAGTATTATGAATTAAAATAGTATTATGAAATATGTTTTGTGTCCTTTTTCTTTTTATAAGGAAAGATTTTTGGAAAGATTCTTCCTGTGTGATGATGATGGCTACCAAGCTGATTGTACCATCTGCTGCTGGGGCAAATCTCTAATAATGTGTGATCATTCAGCATGTCACAAGTGAGCAATATCCAAATGCTACAAATGAAAGCTTAAAATGCTACAAACTGTGAAGCTGAAGAAGTCTTTGTCTGCAATGAGACTTTAAATGAAAAGGGGGGGGGAATAAAACATTCTTTTACTTTACCTGATTTGATGGTGCATGTGATATCTTATTTATTAAAAATCATCAAAATGTCTACATGGGAAGTTGGGCATGATAACAGTAGTAATAATTTACTATTGCTTTTAATATAACAAAGGGTTAATATTCCATCTTAATTGCAGTTTTATCCAGTTAACCAAATTACCTTCAGGAAACCTCCATTTTTTTCTGATTTCTGTTGTTTTTCAATTCATATCATAATATTAATCTATTTTCCGGGGTGTGCTTATTTGACAGCAAAGTGTTATGAAGTAGAAAGTGGTGCTCTTTCTAATAGGGAAGAAACCATCATGCAAAACAACCCCTATCAACCAGGGGTGCTATTCAGCAGGTTCTGACAGGTTCTGGAGAACCGGTAGCAGCAATTTTGAGTAGTTTGGAGAACTGGCAAATACCACCTCTGGCTGGCCCCAGAGTGGGGTGGGAATGGAGATTTTGCAATATCCTTCCCCCAGGAGTGGGAAGGGAATGGAAATTTTCCAGTATCTTTCCCCTGGAGTGGGGTGGGAATGGAGATTTTGCAGTATCCTTCCCCTACCACGCCCACCAAGCCACACCATGCCCACCAAGCCACACCCTCAGAACCGATAGTAAAAAAAATTGAATTCCACCACTGCTATCAACTAATCTTTGCAGTTAAGACTATTCCCTACTCAGGTCACATTTCTTGGCAGTTAGTAACTCTAACACAGATAAAAACTATATAAATCTCTAGATATTCCTGAACTATGAGTTTAGGAACCCCAATCAGCACGGTCAGTGGCAAAGTATGCTGGGACTTACAATGTGCTTCCTCCCTGACCTCTACCATACTAAGGAGTGTACCAAAGTTTTGTAATAGATTTTAAGAGCCTTTTGTATACTGTAGCCAAACATACAAAATACCTCAAAGGTATTTTAATAGCACTTCTTGGGACAAGTAAACTATATTATAAAAAGGCCAGATGTACTTAACAGAATGCAGCAAAGATCAGCTGTTCAGGGAACACAAACAGGAAAATAATACTTTGTGCCTTTAAACAATTTTATTTTTAAATTTATTTAGATGCTTTTGTGAAGAATGTGTGGACACCCTTGTTTATCCTGGGTGTGCAGAAGAAATAAAAGAAACAACTACCTGGATATGCTTCATGTGTGCACCTCAACATGTAAATGGATTGCTAAAAAGGAGAATAAAATGGCGTGCAATTCTGAAAAATTTCTATGATCAAGAATCTGTAAGGAAAAGCTCATTTTAAAATGTTCAAATTGGCTTTAAATTAACTGTAAATTTTGTACAGGATTTTGCACAGAATAGTTAGCTAAATTAATTGATTTCTGATAGGGATGCTATTCAAACAGAAAACACAATCACTGTTTTATCAGGAGATGACGTAAATGTACAAAGCTGAAGAAATGTAGAACACCCTTCATATTTGAACCAAGTGGCAGCACTCACTTTCAGCTGACACTTTACAACTATGAGTTCTGACTAAAAAGATATCATAACTTCAAAGCAAATGAGCATTTGTAATCTGTATCTCTCCTATCTTGTCCATTCTCATGTCCTGTAAACTTTTGTAGTTCTGAGTATTGAACATCTAGAAATGCATCTATTTTTAAATGAAAGATTTTTCAGAATAGCTGGTTTAATTTCATAAACCTCCAGTTCACTCGTATGAGAGGAATTTCTATGTAGTCCATGCTCCGGCAAATTATTTTTGCCCAAAGAGACACAGGCAGTATTTGAGATCTATTTGAGGGCATAGGAAGCATGCCCAATTCTGTCGTATTGCTCTTAATGTATTAGTTCCTTTAATCAAGCAACATTCATTTTTTAATAACTTGTATTAAATATTTTTAAAAGGAATATAAAAACTAATACATATTAATATAAAGTAAGAAAAAAGCATAGAAAAAGAATCAAAGAAAAAGCTAAAATTGTAAGAAAGATAAGATAGTAAAAGCAAAATAGAAAACAAAGAAAAAAGACAGTATCTTCTTTATAACAGTTATAAACACAATTACAAATTTACCTCTTACTCTATGGTTACAATTTAACTCCCTTCAGAAGTCCATAAGAGGTTTCCCGTCAGCAATAAATTTAGATCTGTTTGTTATCTTATCAAAGTAGCCAATTTAGCCATTTCAGCAAGTTGCATCATCTTCACCAACCATTCCTCCATTGTGGGTAGGGCCGAATATTTCCATCAATCCCAGAGAAAAACCTCTAGTCTCAATTGTATATTAATCTTTAACTTCTTCTAAATCAGTGTGTATATTTGAATCCATAATTTTCTAGCTTTTTTACACATCCAACAAACTTAATAAAATGTCTCTTTTGGTTGTTCATATTTCCATCATTAATTTGAACTCCATTTATACATTCTAGGCAATTTTGATGGTGGTATATACCTATAATACATCATTTTATAAAATTATCTATAAAATTATAACAGTAAAAATTTCAATCCTTTTAACCACATATTTTCAGTCACAACCACATTCAGATATGATTGGAGAATATACTAAGATATATTTTATAAAGATTCTGTTAACATAAAGACACTTAAAACTTTCTAACAAAGCAGATATAAAGTTTTTAATAAACTAGCATAAAATATAGGTATGATAAAAATGTGCATTAATTATCAAAATGATCTAACAGAATGCTTAAATTGTGTTATTGAACCTGATGTAGCCTTATTGTACTCATGTGATACCTGTAATAATTGAAATAACTATTTCTAAAAATAAGAGAAAATGTGTGAGCTTGTAATTGTTGTTATTGGATTAATTAACAAATATTTATTGTGTTAGAACAGCACTAATATATGGATATATCAGCTATTGTCTCCATGGGAGAGAAAGTCAATCCATGTGCTTTCACTTTTTGACAATATTACAGAGGGTAAGTAAACAGGTACAGCAATATAGACATAGTTTTCTATCCACATAAAATAGACTATAACTTTCTTAGCTGTCTTGGCTCATTAGGAGCCAGCTGTTTTGCAAAGCCATTTATCAATCGTGTTCTCTGTTGATTACTCATTGCAGTCTGCATTTTACCAGCAAGTGGCTAGATGATAGAGATAGTGCTAAGAAATCTTTTAGATCAGGGGTGTCAAACTTGCATCGTCATGGCGGCATCACATGATGTATTGTGACTTTTTCCCCCTTCACTAAACTGGGTGTGGCTGTGGCCAGCGCATGATGCATCTGGCCCCTGCTTTAGATCTTTGTGCAGGATACTGTACCTTTGGACTTTTCCAAATCTGTTTCTTTATAAATCTTTATGAAAGATAATTTACATCATGAACTGACTACATTGGCCTAAATGTTTCTGGGCTTCTATTTCATTTGCAAGTAGATAAATGAGGTAGGTAATTATAGAAGTCCCTCCCCTATACACACAAATTGCATGCAATTTTGCCTTCTGAATACTACTTTTAAATTTACATTTGCTTCATTCCATGTTCATTGAAAAATAAATAGCATACTCATTGAGCCCATTGGTTTCTGTAAGAAATATTTAAGTGTTTAACTCCTGCTGAAATCTTTTCATTTCTTATGAAAAATATCAACTACCTACAAGTGGCATCAACCTTCATTTTTGAGTAAATGAATATAATCAATCAGTCAGTCAGTCAAACAAAAACGCTATGTGACTATTGCCTAATTAGCAGATCTGAGAACAATTAATAGCTAAACACATACCAATAAAGTGACAATATTTAATTTAATCCACTAAAAACTCTGCTGTTTATGTGATCTGTATTCTTCTATCATTTTACTCAGGAGAATACTATACATACATACAACCACCTTCTTCATTCCATGTTGTAACAGAGTTTATTTGGCTTTAACAGGCATCTTCATATGTATCCAAGACCAACTGAGATCATATATTATATCTAATGTATTTTGCACTTCTCGTTTCATCTCTAGAATTGAAAAGCTTGGGGTTTCTAGAGGAAAGGAGAGGCAATGGGTACCTAAAGTACATGGATGATGTCACAGATGTGATAAGAACAAATGTAAGTAAAAGATGCTTTATATAAATTTTATTACACTGTGTGGATTGTTTTGTCGATTTTTTTTAGGATTAATTTTTGTATAGTAGAGTTGATAAGAGGGCAAGGTGAAAGAAGGTAGAAGGGGAATTGAATGTTTGGGAGAAAACAGTAGCAAGAGAAAGAAAATTTAAAGTAAAGATAGAAACAAAAGCTGAATTTGAAGATACCCTACTACACAAAATATAGTCATTTACAGTGGGATGGAGGGAGGTTTAGTATATGCTTTGACCCTGACTGGAACTGAGGTCTGTGTGCAGTCTGCTGGAGTAACTGGGTGCCCAGGAGAAGAACTATACAACTGTTGAGAACTTGAGAAAAATTGGATTTTAAGCATAAACTGAGTAAGAGGCAGAAGTTTGAGTAGGTAGAGTTGGATGCACCTCCCACAATAAAAAAAAAAAAGGACTGTAGGTATTGGGATTTTATGCTCATTCAGGAGCTTAGTGAGAGGATTTTAGGAGAAGGCATAGAATGTTGTTTTTAAGCAGCTGCTATACCGGGGGTTGGAAGTTATGGATTATTTAATTAATATTCATAATAATTTAGCAACAGATTTGAATGAATTTGAAATAAACTATTGTCAGCGGGCAGAGTCTTACCCAGTATGATACAGTTTAATTGGGACTTGTAGATTAGGGCAAATTACTGTTTTTGTCCATTAAATATATTAATTTATTATTAATGATCAGAATGTTAATTAATGAACCAATCAAGTTTCTGAAGCTGATTTATTTGATTTACTAGATAGAAGAATGGGGTCCATTTGATTTTATTTTTGGCTCAACTCCTCCTGTAGCAAAATTTTACAAACATCCATCTGGTAAGCAACCTAATGATATATAAAATGAAAATATTGATATAAGTGCCTTGGATCCTGGTTTGTTGAAAATAATTTATCTTTTGGATTGCATTTTTGTTCCCTTTTCTGTAAATAGATTTACTTGGGAAATTGTTTTATGGTTCCATTGATGTTAGTTATCTCTCACAAAAGTATTTATAGCATTGTGGCAGTGGTGAAATGTAAAATTTGTTACTACCGGTTCTGTGGGTGTGGCTTGGTGGGATGGGTGGGTAATGTGATTGAGTGGGCGTGGCCAACTTTTTTTTTTAACTTTTAAAACCATTTTTTCTACAACTTCTTCTGCCGAAGAGGTTGTAAAAAAATGCTTTTAAAAGCCTCTGACAATCAGGCACCTCAGCTGGGATCGTCAGAGGCTTTTAAAAGCATTTTTTCTACCACCTCTTTGGTCGAAGAGGTGGTAGAAAAAATGCTTTTAAAAGCCTCTGACGATCCCAGCTGAGCCACACGATCATCAGAAGCTTTTTAAAAATATTTTTAAAAGCATTTTTTCGGCTGAAGATGTTGTAGAAAAAATGCTTCTAAAAATTAAAAAAAAGCCTCTGATGATCGCACGGCTCAGCTGGGTGGGGGGGCAGGGATTTTTGCTACCGGTTCTCCGAACCCTCCGCCGCCATTGCTACCAGATCAGGCGATCTGGTCCAAACTGGGAGCATTTCATCCCTGCATTGTGGTCTGGCCATGCTGCACATTCCTAAGTATATTTTGTTCTATTCAAGCAAAAAAAAATGATTCTAAAAGAAACAAGATATTAGAGCAACCACCAGTAAGGTCCCTCGAATCCTCCATGCACTAACTTCGCCTCTGCTGCCAGAAAAAGGAAGGTGCACCCAGATGTTGCTGAATCACATGTTCCAAGCTTCCTAGGAATACAGCAATTTTGAGGTACCCTGGAAGTTGTATTTCAACAACAATGACATGAAGTCATTGTGATCATCCAGTAATTATAATTATAGATTCACTTCTGAATCACAGGTTGCACTTCTGAAAGCACAGCTGAATAGTCCAATCATTTATATTGGCACATCTCTTCCCCTCCTCTCTCCCTCCCTCTCTGTCTAGAATAAAACTTTTTGTCAGATAAAACTTTGGGTATACATAAAAAAATAATGCTGTTCACCTTTGCCCAGTGGTGGGGAGTAACTACAGTATATTGCAGTGATGGCTAACCTTTTTGACATCGCGTGCCAAAAGCGGGGGGAGCGTGGAGGGGGTCATACGCACGCGTGCCCACATCCATAATTCTATGTGCCCTGCCCCCCCGTACTCTCCCCGCTTTTGGCACGTGATGGCACGATGAGCCCAGTAGGCCCATTTTTCGCTCTCTCCAGGCTCCAGAGCCTTTCTAGGAGCCTGGGGAGGGTGAAAATGGCCTTCCCCACCTCGGAGGCCGGAAATAATGTGTTTCCTGACTTCTGGTGGGTCCAGAAGGCCCGAAAATCTGCTGGCTGGCGCACACATGTGTGCCGGAGCTGAGCTCGCGTGCCCACCGATATGACTCCACGTGCCACCTTTGGCACCTGTGCCATAGGTTCGCCATCACGGGTATATTGCAATTGCTAAGCGAAGGTAAAACATGTCACAAACCAATTTCTTTTTTCTTTTTTTTGATATCCTGTAGGATTTCAAAACAGCAACCTAGTGTACTCTGTCTAAAGTTCTATAAACCAGTTTAAGCTCAGCAATGGTGACTGTCTTGTTTTGATAGTCTTTATGACTGAGTGAGGACTTGAATCTGAATCATATTAGTCCTAGTTCAGACATAACCCATTTGTTCCCACTGTTATTGGCTATTCTTTACATAGTAGAGTGGTAAAGGCTATCAGGCTAGAAACCTGGGGACTGAATTGTACTTAAGGGTTGAAGTCAGCTGGGTGAATTTGGGCCAGACATTCTCAGCCCTAGGAAGCAGGTAATGGCAAACCACTTCTGAGAATCCTTGCCAAGGTGAATTGCAGGGACTAGTACAGACAGTTATCAGGAGTCAAAAAGTGACTTGAAGGCTCTAATAAAAAAGGTGGGTACCATAAATCTACTAGACCAATATTATATTTTATCAATTTAAGAATTTTTTTTTAATTAAACTTTATTGTTTAAAAGAAAAAACATTTAAAAAACATACAAGTTTCTCTCAATTGAGAAACAAATTTGCATATACAGTACATAAATGTCACCTATTGACTAATTTCCATTATACTATATAAATATATTATATATATTATATGTACATATATACAAACATACAATAAAATATTCCATATTCTATACCTCTGACAGTGCTGTTTTTGTTATATTAATTTCTTCTAAATTTCATCTCTACCCATTTCCTTTCCTCTGGTTTATCCATTGGTACCATCTATTCCATGTTTCATAATATTTAGAGTCCTCCTTATCCTGTAACACTAAAGTTAGTCTGTCCATCTCTGTGCATGTATATATTTTTTGTATTAATTCCTGGTCTGTTGGCAGTCGATCGCTTTTCCAAAATTGTGCTAGTGCTAATCTTGCCGTCGTGATTATATGAAGTATTAGGTATTTTATGTCATTTCGAATGTTCTTTTTGATCATGCCCAATAGGAAAATCTCAGGTTCTAATTCAATTTCACAATCTGTAATTTCTCTTATCCATATCCTTACCTTGTTCCAGTATTTCTTAATGACCGGGCAAAGCCACCAAACATGGTAGAAGGTTCCCTGTGTTTTTCTGCACTTCCAACAGGTCGAATCTACATTTGGGTACATTTTCGCAAGTCTTGCAGGGGCCAGATGCCATCGATACCACATCTTATAATGATTTTCTTTGTAGGCCACCGATTTTGTCATACTGTAGTTAGTTTCCCACACTCTTTCCCAATCTTCTAGCTGTAGACTGTGGCCAATGTTTCTCGCCCATGCTATCATCTGCCCTTTCACTAATTCTTCTGCCAAATCATATTCAAGTAAATATTTGTAGATTTTTGAAATTAATTTCCCTTCTTTAGATTCTAATAATTTATCCAACCTATTTTGTTTCAAATCTATTCCCCCCTCCTCCTGATCCTTCCTGTATCTTATTTTTATTTGTGAGTAGGGCCACCAGTCTATTGCTATTCCTTGTTCTTTTAATTCTTCCCTAGTTTTTAATTTACCCTGTGTATCCAATATTTCTCTATATCGTAGTATTTTTTGTTTTGATAATATGTTTGGGTGGGTGGTTGCTTCTATTGTCGACAGCCAACCGGGGATTTTCATATAATGTTTACGTTGAATTTGTTGCCAGGTACTAATTAAAGATTTCCTAATGGTATGATTGTTAAAATGTTTGTATGATTTGTTTCCAGAATTCCAAATAAAGGCATGCCATCCCTTCATTAGGTCATGTCCTTCCAGCTTTAACAGTCTTTGATTCTCCAAAGTTATCCATTCCTTAATCCATAGTAAACTGGCAGCCTTGTAATATTTTTGCCACGCTGGAAAACTGAAACCACCCCTAATTTTATCATCTTGTAATATGTTTAATTTTATTCTCGATTTTTTCCCCTCCCATACAAATTTTGTGGTTATTTTATCCAAATTATCAAAAAATTTCTTATCCAATTTTATTGGGATCGTTTGGAATAAATAAAGGAGTCTTGGAAGTATGTTGGATTTTACCACTGCTATCCTCCCCAGAAGGGACAACTTTAATTTCCCCCATTTATCTAAATCTTCTTTAATTTTCTGGACCAAGGGTTCATAATTGTCCTGTTTTATTGTTACTGTTCTAGCCGTCAAATGGATCCCTAAGTACTTCACTTTCTTTACCGCCTGTAGTTGTGAAACATTTACTAATTGCTCTACTTGCTTTGCTGTCATATTTTTTGTTATCATATTTGTTTTTTCTTTGTTGATTTTTAGGCCTGCTACTCTTCCAAATTTTTCAATTTCTTTTATTAACTTGGGGATTGTTTCTATTGGGTCTTCTATAAAAAAGACAAGGTCGTCCGCAAAAGAATTTTAATATGCACTTCTCTCCTATCACTGCCCATAAGCATAGGTTGAAATTCACACTATAGAACTATGGCTGACATGAACCAATTACTAGTAATTCAATAACTTTCCCCTTTCGTAGATATAGTAAATTATTCTAATTTATACAAGCTGCATCCTAACCATATTGGCTAGGGAATTCTGAGAGTTGAAGTCCACACCTTAAAATTCCTAAATTAGAAAAGCACTGCTGTAAGGGATTATTTTAGCCATTGACATTTATGGCAGTAGCCAAAGAGCTAGATAGTGTTTAGGTGTAATTTCTTGCTATTTCCAGATCCAGGAGTATACCTTCCATCATTCATAACCACCAAAATTGGGAAAGGTTGCTAGATCACCAGTCTACTTACATAAAACCTAACATTACAAGTAGTCCTTGATTTATGACCAGTCAACAAAACATTTCAAGATGTTGTAAAATGTATTAACTCCTGTGTCGCATGACTGTATTCTAGGTACTTGACAACATATTTATGACAGCTTGCAGCATGCCAGAGTCACATTACTGCAATTTGTGACTTTTTTTTGTCAGTTTCTGGCATTTTTTGTGTTTCCCGATTTACAACCAGGTGATTTACTTAATGATTGCCCTAAAAGCAATCATTAAATTAGGTTTGATCAAGTGGGTGCTTGATTGATTTACAAACATCATGACTTACAATTGAAATTCCAGTCCCAATTGCAGTCATAAGGGTTACCTGTACTATGTGCCAGTGAATTACTCATATGAGACAACTCCCTAACTAAATGTTATTGAAAAGGTCCAAAATTCTGGACAACTGAGAAAGATCATGTAGTAGTTATCACTTTTAAAAAAGACTAATTTATTTTTTGAAACCATTTTCAAAAGCTATTTACAAGAAAACAAATTTCTTTCTTCCTTCTAAAGCCTGGTATTTTTACCAATATTTTCGTATACTTCAGTATGGAAGTCCTGAAGAAAAAAATAAAAAGCCATTTTTTTGGCTATTTGTAGACAACATTGTCTTGGATGAAGAAGAGAGAGATGCAGCTTCTCGCTTTTTTCAGGTAAGTTGGAAATCAGTTGCTATTGGGAAGTGAATGAACTGAGTTTGTATTAATTATTTAAATACCTAAAATTCATGTAGATTTTTACTGGAACAGTACAAAATATGACATTGGCTCTGCATGCATCCCTGGAGAGATTTCAGTTCATCTTGTTGGCATCCACAATGAAACTCAGATGCACAAACATGTGATTACAGCAAGCTTGCATTAAAGCTGATTCCCAGTTTGTTCCTAAGCCTCATATAAATGGTCCTGGAAAGCAGTTCTACATTCTGTTGTGCAGGGATCTGCAGACCTCACGCAGCTTCCCAGATGATCCACAGAGTCCTCTCCCATGATAAAGTTGCCACAGGCTGAGAGAAAAATGGTAATTATTGGAAGTCCTTTATTTCTTCCTCTTAGTGTTTTTTCACAAGTGCAAGGTCTGCTTTTTTCAGATCAAGTGAATATTGATCCATTGGTTACAACAGGAATTGACTGACCAGCTTGTTACCTGAGCCTGATATTATGGGCTGAGAGAGACTGGTCCAAAGTTACTCAGCTGGCTTTCATGACTACATCAGAACCAAAACTCAAAGACTCCTGGCTGAATTAAATGAAATTGTGTACAGGTAGTCCTTGGTTTATGACTGTAATGCAGCCTACCTATTACAATCACAAGTCATGATAGTCATTAAGTGAGGTGCCCACATAACTACTTTATCTAATGACCCCAATACCTGCTCTCCCCATCCCCCCATTGCAGGTGTTAAACAACCACATGGATCATTGGGAGGCCTAGCACAGGACCAGACTTGCACTACAGCACCTCCCCAGCTTACCCATGGCCTGGTTCTAGCTCACATGTGGCCTGTTCCACTGTATAGGGCAGCTAAAGGATGGGTCGTTGAAGGTCCACAGATTGTGTTTGAGGAGAGCTGGCCTGCTCTACCCTTCAGCCTTCCTGAAGGCTGCATGGCACCATCCAGGAAGTGGGTGGCATTTCATTGTGAACACTCCCAAAATGGTGCACATTTCCAAGACAGTGTCACATGGCCTCCACTGTTTAAATAGACCATGCAGTGGAGCAGCTGCTTCCTGAAAATCTACCAAAAATTAAAATTAAGGGTGGGAAAGAGACGGTGAAGCAGGTCCAAGGCCTGCGGGGACCTGGCGGGGCATAAAAGCAGGTCCAAGACCTACAGGAATGCAGAGGGATGGAAGAGGGTGGGAGATAAGCAGGAGGGAACTGCAGCATCCCTGCAATTGGTCATAAGGTTGGGCATATTGCCAAGTGCCCAAATTTTGTTTACATGACCATGGGGGCATCGCAACAAGGATCATAAGTCCCTTTGTTCAGCAGCGTCATAAATTTGAACAGCTGGTAAATGAATAGTCGTAAGTCAAAGACTATCTATAGTTCTGTATTATGTGGAATGGTCATTGTTTTGAGACAACGTTCTAATAGTTGAAGTATAAATATGTTTGTTTTACAGATGGAAGCAGTTCTCAGATATAAACAAGATGACAGCAATGTCCAGAATGCAGTGCATATCTGGAGTAACATTCCATCTGTTAATAGGTGAGTAATTTGTTTCTCAGTTTAGCTTAGCATGTTCTTTTAAAACTGAATTAATGTAAAGTGTTGTAAATAATTTACGAAATCCTCTTTAACAATTCTTTGCTTTTTTTTACTATAGAAAAGCAATAACAAATTTGCAGTAACAATTTTTCAGAATTAAGTACAGCTAAGATGCCTGAATTTGTACATACCTACTGTAGAATGTTGATAAATATCATGAATGTTGATAAATATCATGAATCATGAATTACAACACTCTCTCACATCTCCTAACAACAGTGTGCTGTAAGCTGTTTGGTCTCCTTCAGATATTTTGCTGGATTACTGTGCCTTTCATTCCCAGGAACTATAGCTATTGGTCAATGCACCAGGGGAAGCTAGGCAGGGGTGAAATGTAAAATTTGTTACTACTGATTCTGTGGGTGTGGCTTGGTGGGGGGGTAATGTGATTGGGTGGGCATGGCCAACTTTTTTTAAAAAAAACTTTTAAAAGCATTTTTTCTGCAAATGCAAAAAAATGCTTTGAAAAGCCTTTCCCGATCAGGCAACACAGCTGGGATCGTCAGAGCCTTTTCAAAGCATTTTTTTAACCACCTCTTCCACTGAAGAGATATTTTTTTAAAAGCCTGTCTGACGATCAGGCAACTCAGCTGGGATCGTCAGAGAGGCTTTTTAAAAAATTCTTTGAAAAGTCTCTCTGACAATCAGGCAACTCAGCTGGGATCATCAGAGAGACTTTTAAAGCATTTTTTTCTGCAACCTCTTCAGCGGAAGAGGTGATTTAAAAAAATGCTTTGAAAAGGCTCTGACGATCCCAGCTGAGCCGCATGATCATCAGAGGCTTTTTTTTTTTACTTTTAAAAGCATTTTTTTGGCGGAAGAAGTTGTAGAAAAAATGCTTTTAAAAGTAAAAAAAAAAAGCCTATGATGATCGTGCAGCTCAGCTGGGCATGGTGGTGGGGGGGGGGCGCAGGGATTTTTGCTACCGGTTCTCCGAACCACCCGCCGCCATCGCTACTGGATCGGGCGATCCAGTCCGAACCGGGAGCATTTCACCCCTGAAGCTAGGTAATGTTTCGTATGAACTTTCACACAAAACTTTTATCATTTGACGATCAACCCGTATTCCAGTTTAAATCAATTCCTACAACACATCTGTGGGTGGTAAGTAGGTAAGGTTTGCAACAACAGTTAAATAATTTACCAATGCTATTATAAAGGATAATTCCAGGAATGCTTATACTATATACAGTAACTCTTGGTAATTTTGAGATTTTGCAGTTATTCTCCAAATATGTGTCATATGAATATCTAGCATTAGCAAGATGAACCAATGTAGTTTAATTTGTAAAATTATCTTTGTTAAATATAATTTGGCTTTCTGCATTTCCATGTCATGAGAACTATAGTATAATTTCTCTAAATGGAGTAAGAGGTATAAAATGAGACCAGACAGCAAGATACAATATTGTTTATAATAAATAACATTTGAAAATATGAATCAACTAGCTATTTTCATTTTGAGGAATTGTGGATACAATTTAGCTTGGTTTTTCTATCAGAAGTTTCTCTAATAGCCAAGGGTTTGCTCTATAAACTTTTTTTATTTGATCTCTAAGGGTGTACAGGTAGTCCTTGACTTATAACAGTTTGTTTAGGGACCGTTCGAGGTTACAACAGCACTGAAACATGACAAGACTGTTTTTCACATTTACAACAGTTGCAGCATTGTGATCAAAATTTGGGATGCTTGGCAATTGATTTAAGAAGTTTGCAGTGTCCTGAGTTTATGTGATCATGTTTTGTGACCCTTAGCAATCCTCTCACAAGCAAAGTCAATGGGGAAGCCAATTCACTTAACAAACATGTTACTAAGTTAACAAATACAGCAGGGGTGGGTTCTACTTACCTTTACTACCAGTTCGCAACGGTAGAAAGGTCATAGAATGGAGCAAAACTCATTTTACAAATATCTCACTTAGCAACAGAAATTCGGAGCTCAATTGTAATCGTAAGTTGAGGACTACCTGTACTTTATTGAACAATACAAAGGGTAAAGGAGAAAGAATTTCCTCTTCTACAGTAGGTGGATTAGAAAGCCACCTTTTTTTTAGCCAGAGAAGTTATTTGCTTTTAACACATGCAAAACTGAACAAGAACATGGAAGAAGGGAAAAAAAATACCTATCATATTGGTATCCAGACACATTATTTTGTCATGAATTTGGCATCGGCATCTTTAAATCTAGAACTATGTGCTGTATTGCACAATGAGGCCTTGTAAGATCTCCAAAGGTAAATGGCCCAAGTAGAAAACAGGATAATCCTTTATGTTAGGTTGAAATAAAAATGTAAGTGAAATGCTGAACAGGCCACTGAAAAGATGTAGATTTTTGGAGTGCTTGCTTGCCTGATTGTTTTTGTTTTTGTTACATAAACATTTTCTAATTCTTTTCTAGCAAATACTCTGCTTCAGCATTGAACATGGATTTATCTCTCTTGGCAGACAACATTTGCAGATCTAGAATTTTCTCTCAACGTCCAGCTACACTGATTAGAGAGTTTTTTGTTCCTTTGAAAGACTATTTTAGGGCCTTTTCATAAGCCAATCTTTTGCCTTGAATCCAAAGCAAAGCTGACTTTTGCAATGTGACATTTAAAGAGTAACTTGCTGTGTTATGTTCAGTATGATTTTCAGTATTTGTTTATAACAATTATGCTCATGCTGAACAAAATTTCATCTCCAGATTCATTTGCATCAAGCTACTGATCAAGCTCTTCTTCCTCTAATCTGTTTGCAATATGGTTTAAAAACATTTATAGACATTATTGCTATGTCATCCAACTCTTGCCTTTTAAATTTCACTTTAAATGGTTTTTCATCCCACATATATACAAACTATATGTTTCTTTTTTGGGAAGTTACATGCATAACTTCATGCTGAATATATTTAAGCTAGTAAATGCAGGTTTAAATTTTAAAATGCAAATGATATATATAAACAGAATGCCCTGATAAACATAGAAATATGATTCATGATTCCAAATGCCTCATAAGGAGAATAAAAAGGGAAATTATCAATAATAAACAATGAAAAGATAATACTTGCATTGATATATATTTATTTTTGATAGTTTTTCTAAATAACTATTTGTAATAAAATGTTTTCTGGTCTTAAAATAGAAATAATTTAATTCTTTATGATGATTGCCATAGAAAATAACTACCTATAAAGCTTGTGAAATCTTGTCATATTATTCTAAATTCTCTTGACTGAGGACTCATGCTTACTGAATGTCCTCCTAACTACAGCATGAATATACCCAGTAACCTTTTTATATAACATTTCTTTGTAACACTTCTTTCAATTCAACCCTAGTCTACCCCTTCAATTTGTCTTTAGCTATGTTAGTTTAAAAGGAATGCTTTTTCTGTTCTCCTCACAGAAATTTTGGTTTGACATGATCTAAAGCACTTCATCAACAATACGGTTCATGGTGGGTGGATTGTTTAGAATAGTGTGGGTATTTATCTCCCCATTGGTTGCTGGGCATTGCACATCATGGCTATTGTATCTTGTTGCAAAAAAACCCTAAACAACTGACTTCTGCAGAACATCTGCCTATACATAATGGGTAATTTTGTGCTTTCCATAGACTTTACCAGGTCTTACATGAGTTCCTTATAAACACAGTCTTAGCACTCTTTTGAAAATGCTAGACCATTAGAAAACTTCAAAAACCCCAATCCTTTGCTACATAAGTTGGTTTTAAACTATAAAAGACAATCAGAACCTGTGTTGCTGCCTGTATCATCTATGTGTACCTTATAGGCTTTCCATTGCTTCTGACACAAGTGGCGTTACATGACCAGTTTACTAGGAGGAAGAGGGTCTATTTTGTCTATGCCACATTCTACATGTACAGTATATGGTGTGAGTCACCACTACTTGGTACCTGTATTACCATTTGCAGCACTTGATTGAGGAGTTTGTTTATTACCAATCATTCCTTCCAGCTCTATTCAGCCCACTTCTCCACACCAATTAGTTCAAACTACACATCCCAGATGTAAAGGAATGTAGGATGATGTGTTAGAGAAGAGGAGAAAGTACTATATCCCTAATGCTCCTTATATCTTCCTCACATCTAGGACCTGCCTGTTAGCCTATTTCTGAAGATGGGAATTGTGTTTTTTAAAAGAGTGCTAAATCATGTGCAAAAATATGTGTCAGCTATAGTACTCTTTTCCCACAGGTTTCATATTATTTCAAAAGAGCACTAAATTTCCTTTCAGAAATATCAAAATCAAATATTACAGGTATGAAATGATTGGTTAGGTAGGCCAGTTGAGAGACAGCTAAACCAACCATTCAAGTCACCATAATTTCAATTTCATTGAAGGAAAGACCAAATTAATACCATGTCACCATGCTCTTGAAAAATTGTGCTCATATTCTGGTACATTCATTTTCTTCATTCTTTTCACTCAGGTTAGGTGATAATCCACAACTACAGAAACACAGCAATCTCTTCTATCAGGATCACTTTCAAAACTCTATTTAAAACTATGGTTTCGGACATCACTTTCATTATTTCACACTCATAGCCATTTATTTATAGTCAACATATTAGATCTGGAACATTCAGCATGCTGGTTCACTGGGGAAAAAAACTAGGTCACATTTTGCAATTTTACACAATGCCATTAAGTCCAAACTTTTTTCAGTTCATAGGCATACATTAGGGAAAAATGAAGAAAAACAAACTAGTTAATTGGATTTTCATTTTATAAGTTCATTTTACAAGTTCACATAGTTCAAAACTGACACCTTTTTATGTTACACTGTAATATAATATCTTGGGAAGAAAAAAAATATAGTCAAACTCCTGCACAACTTGTCATTTTACAAACACAACATATAAAAAAGACTTCCTGCTGCTCAGAACAGTATTATAATAGTAACCAGATCTGTAACAAACTTTTTAAAATAAGTAATC